AGTAGCCTTCTGTATGAGATGGTAGTTCAAAAAGTTCATGGAAAAATAGAATTAAAAGATAATATGAATCTTTCCATGAGCTTTTTGAAGTACCCTCATGTATTGCTTTTGCTCTTTTAAAAGGAGAATATTTTCATGAATTGCTTGCATAAGTTTAAAAGAATAACATTTTATTTATTTACTTATTTATTTACCTACCTATTTATTTATTTATTTACCTACCTATTTATTTATTTATTTACCTATTTATTTATTTATTTTTTTACTTTGTTTATTTATTTATTTATTTATTTATTATTTATTTAGGCAGCTGTCCTGTTCTGGGATGTGAACACTTGACCTAGGTGTTCTCAGTGTTTAAAATAGTTTAAAGGAGGGAAACAAAGTACTGTTGATTAAAAAACAAAAGCAGATGGTAGGGTTGGCAATGATATACCAAGTAAATTTAATAAAAGCAAGCAGGTGTGCCAAGATTAATATCAGAGTCAAAATACAATTCAAAGTGCAGAACGTTAGTGGTGCAAAGACAGATTTTTTTTTTTTTTTGTGAGACTGGCCGCACCGCGCTCAGCCAGTGAGTGCTGTGAGCACACTGGTCATCTTTATATAGGATCCGAACCTGTGGCAGGAGCGTTGCCGCGCTCCCAGCGCCACACCCTCCCGGGTGCGCCACGGGCTTGGCCCTTCCAGATTATTTTATATGGAGAAAAATTATGGTATACTAAGAATCCAAAACAATCAGGAACCTTTTTGCCTGTACATTAGGGGTGTCAGCTTGGGAGCTCTAGTGCCTATTCTAAGACTTGGGCAGAGGGGTTTCCTTCTTTCCCCATCCCTCACTGGGAATTCAAAGACCCATTCACATTTTCTTAATCTCATTCTAAGGGCAGAGGTAGAGGGGGTGCCAACATAGGTTAAATCACACAGGAACTGAGCCCAGTCTGAATTCCCTCAGGAAAATCTGCTCCCTGCCCACTTCCTTCTCCTCCAGAATATTCTTTGCCCTTTTTAATTTTCCACAATGGCTCTGGATGATCCAGAGCGTGACCCAGAATGCTAGTTCCCCTTTCAAAGTATTCTGGTTTAGTAAAGGGAAAGAAGAGCAAACAGTCAAAACATACAAACCTACAAACATTTACAGTTCAATTTGAAAGAAAAAAATGGCAGCATTCTTTATTATCTATAGCTACTTGCATCTTATTAACAAGCTCCTATTCCTATTAATGACAGGGCAAAAATTTAAATTTGTCAATTAAGGTCATTTAGTTACATTTCAGTTGGTCTTTTTCAGTTTAAAATGTTCATTTAAAAATATTTCCATTCAATTTAATTCACTGTTTGGGGGATAAATCTTTAGTCAGTTTAAGTTTCAAATTCTCTCTCAGAGCTACCTCCACTCAAGGGTCTTCCCTCCTTCCCACCGTGATTTCTCAGTGCTGGGGGGCTTACATATGCTCACACCACAGACAGGGAAGCAGTCTCGGGGCTCTGTGCTGTGCTGTGTGTTGAGCTTCTCACTTATTTTCCATGCTGCATAACTGTTCTTGTGATGTCTGGGCATATAGTGCTTGTCCCCAATGAACTACAACAGGTTCTGTCTGATTTTTTTGGTCCCTTTCTGGCGCTCACTGCTCAAGTCTGTGGTCCTGCTATTCCTCTTATTGTGAGGTCTCTGCTGGATGTGACTTTCTCAGCCCCAGTGCAGACCTCTTTTGGACCTTGGGCTCTCTCAGCACTTCTGCACCCTCTCACCAAGGCATGAAGAATATTCTGGTTCTCCTCCATACCACACAAGACCACAGGGAAGTGGGGTGCAAGCACAGGTCCCTCTGCCTAGATAAATATCAGCCACTTAAGAATTACCTCTTAAATGGCACCGTGGTGCCCCAGTACCTAGCTGAACATGGAGTGAAAGTGAAAGACCAGCCCAGAAGTTCCAGATTCTACCTCAACTTATCCAGGGTTCCTGATGCCATGTCCATCTTCTCCATTTTGGCCAAGGCACAACGAATGAAGGGGCTGGTGGGTTCCTTCTCGGGGATCTAAGCAGCAGGTAAGTCCAGTCTCAACCCCCCTGGCCATCACCCTCCCTTTGGCTCTTCCAACTGGAAGAGCACTTTACTTCTTCCCTTGATAGGTGGCAACTTTCCACCATCACACCCCAAGTTTGCCTACATACTGATTATAATAAAACTTCATATCGAGGCTACATGCTTCACTCTTAATATTTAAGAGATTATGGGATTTTGGAGCTGCCTTTACTTTCCCAACAAAGCTTTCAAGACTGTTATTTAGTTACAGGCTTCAAAAGCTGAACTAGAGTCATCGTTTACCTTTGCATTCCTGCTGTGACAACCTGATGCTTTCTGAGACAAAGGGATGCCTCTGGTTGAAAAGGGAATGGTCACATGGAAAAAAAATAAGGAAAAAATTGAATTAATATTTTTCAAAACATATTATCTCCCTCATGCCAAATTTTAGTCTGTTGAAAGACTAACTTTTTAGTTCGGAAGGTAGAACCAAGAGCAGGGTTTTTAATTTTACTTTTCCCCCTCTAATTAATAGTCCTTATAAGAGAAGACACTTATCAAATATAAATAAAACAAAAGGAAGCTTCAGTCTGTAGACCCCTTGAATTAGGAAAAGATCTAGGGAGAGGAAGAGTTATAGTTATTACTGCTCCAAGCAGGGTATGGCGGAGAGGGTATCAGCGGCATGCTGTCACCCTGCTAGTTTCCAAGAAGTTCTAGGTCTACTCATCCAGCCAAGGGACGGACAGCAACCTGGTCAGTGAGTTCCAGCAGGGGTCAGCAATGGATTGAACTGGAGTGCATCTAGCAGCCCAGAGGTGGTGCTAGAGGCTTTTCTTCTGGGGCTGTGTGTAGTCATGGCTTTTATCTTTAAAAAAAAAAAAAAGGCTTTCATGGGTCGGGACATACGATGCAACAAAGATTAACAGGCATTTATAATGTGTCAGGCACTGTTATAGGCACTTGGGATACGTAAGTGAATAAAACAAAGATCTCTGCCCTTATGGTTTTATATTCCAGCAGAAGGGATATAGAAAATAAACAATACATAGATGTTAGGTAGTAGAAGACATGGAATTAATGAAAAGTAGAGAGGTTGAATCAAGAGTGCTGGGTGGGAGCAGGGGTTAGGGTGATCTGGATAGGCCTCATTGTGCAAATACGAGATGAAAGAAGACTTGAAGGAGGTGAGGAAGTTAGCCAGCTGATATCTGGAGGAAAAGTGTTCCAGGAAGAGGGTGCAGCTAATAAAACATCCCTAAGGGATGGGGTCAAGAAACAGTAAGGAGACCAGCATGGCTGGAGCAGAGTTATGGTCAGAAGGAAGTGGGGATGCCAGGCCATACGGACCGTATAGCATTGTAATGACTTCGGCTTTTTCTCTGGGTAAAATGGAGAGCCACTGAGATTTTTGAGCAGAAGCATGATATGATCTGCCTTACGTTTCACAGGATCACTCTGACTGCTTTGTTTGAGGGGTTTAAACAGGGAGATCTGTTAGGAAGCAGTATCATTAATCTAGGTAAGAAACGATGGTGGCTTGGACCAGCGTGATGGTAGAGATGGTGGAGAGAAGTGGTCAGATTCTGATATATTTTAAAGAAAAAGCCAATAGACTTTCCTAAAGGATTGACCATGGCAAGTGAGAGGAAAAGAGTCAGGAGTACTCAAGGTCTTTGGCTTGAGCAGCTGGGAGTATGGAGTTGCCACCAACTGAGATAAGGAAGGCCAGAAGAGGAAGAGATAAGAAAGAGATAAGGAAGGCAGATTTGTAGGGGAAGAAAAAAGTGTTCCCTTTTGGACACGTTGA